TTAGTAGAGTAGTAGAGGACGTAGGTGGGGTTAGGGTTTTTGGGTTGGGGGGGGGGGGGTGAGGCGGGTTCTGACAGTTATATACTTAAGGGTGAGGTCAATTGCGAGCCGTTGGATCAAAACGGTGTCGTTTTAGTTAATGAACGACTGGGTCGGTTCTTTAAGTGTTTGGGCTTGGGCGAAATTGAAATAAAAACAAATGGAATTGGGCCACTGAATTTGTTTTTGGGTGGCCCAAAATCAGAATCCCAAAAATGAAATCTTAATTTGTTTTTTCTTCTTTTCTTTTCTTCTACTTATTATTATTATTATTATTTTAATTCTTAATAGAACCTTAGATAAACTAAATGAAATCCTAATTTTAGATTCTACATTAATCCATTTGATAAAATTATCATTACCTATTTTAACTAATTTTGACACTAATTAATTAAAACTAAAATCTAGACAAGACCATGATAATTTTATGACTTTTGTTTAATAAAATGCAATTAACTTATGCAATTTAAATTCTAAATGCAATTAAAGCCTAAAAATTCCATGTAATGATGATTTGATTTTTTTGGTATTTTTTATGATTTTAAAAAAAAAACTTAAATGTGCACAAAAAATACAAACAATTAATTAAGAAAATCCTACAAAAATCCTATAAGACTAAAAATAATTTAGAAAACCTATTTTTAATTTTTGTAGGAGTATTTCTAGTCGGGCAAAAATCACATGCTCACACTTCCAAATCACGTCGAACTGATCCGGGCTGGTAGAGACGTGGTACAGGTTCATCGCCTTGGATACGGTGCTCTATACACATATCCCTTTCTTATCGACTATTCTTTCCCCCCTCCTTCCATTGGTGGAGGAATTCTGTCGTCACTATGGTGTCTGTCCTGCTCAGCTTGTGCCATACGTCTACAATATTATTAGAATAATGACCAAATTTGCCGAGCTGGTTGGGGTCGAACTGACGCTGTAAATTTGCTACATCTCTTCGCCCCTAGCTTCTATAGCTTCAAACACTTGGTACATTTATTACGATTTTTTAAATATTTGTCTAATATTACAAATAAAAATTTGAATCTTATGCCTTCTCAATTTCTGATTTTACTTACTAAAATAAAATAAATTAGAATGTATCATTTACATGCCTTTTTTTGAAACGCGTGTGAGCAAAGAAAACACTACTAAAACATTTAAGTTTAATAAGACGAACAAAAACTACTCGTAAAAGAATATAGTCGCTTTATTAAGTTAACAATTTACGCAAATTTATTGGATTCACATATTTTCAAAGTTTTCGTAATGCATGTGGAATATGTGCGTGTAAGTTTTATACCTTAAGAAATAAAATGAAGTAGAAGAGTTTGGGGATTTCCTTTGTCGGTAAAAAGGATAAATTAAATGTTCAAATCTTAGGGAAGAAGTTGTTCACCAATCAAATATGAAAATAATTTAGAGCGTGTTTGGATTGGCTTATTTTAAGTATTTTTAAGCCAAAATAAATTTTAAATCATTTTATAGTGTTTGGATAAAATAAAAAAAGTATTTTTAAGCACTTATTTTTAAGCTAAAATGGCAAAAACAAGCCAAAAGCCAAAAGTTAAAAATCCTAACTTATGGCTTAAAAGCTATTTTGACTTAAAAGCTACTTAAAATAAGCCCATCCAAACAGGCTCTAAATCAAATCTTATACAATTTTAAATTTCTAAATATTAAAAATTCTTAAATAGACAACAAGGAAATTTTTAAATTTTAATTGATATTGTAATCTTAGATATTAGAGACATAGATGCTCTGGGGAGAAGGTATGAGAAGTTGTCCACGGCGGATTCGAGGAACGGAAGGGGTATGACTAAAAAGTATTGGGGAGAGAAGGCAGGGCATGTCATTGTTTCAGATTATCGTGGATATGACCCACGATAATAAGGTGTGAATGTCGAGGAATTAGGGTTGTAGGTTGACAGATAATAGTGTGTTCCTCCTAGGCTAACCAGTAGTGCTAGGACTATTTTTTTTATTATTATTATTACAGGTTGTGGCATTCACGCCGTTACCAAAAAATAACTTTTCTATTTCTATGATGTAAGGGTAAGATTTGCATAGACACTATTCTCCTCGGATCATATTTATGAGATGATCAAACTGGGTTTTTTGTTATTATCGTAGATATTAGAAAATAATTAAATGGAGTACTTATTTTGATTAGTGTGAAATTTATAATGATGGACCGATGGGTGACTAGCAGAAAAGTTGCTTCGTTGTCGGAGTGTTGAACAGCCACTGAACTGGGGGAAAAAATGCAGGCGTTTCTATCAACACCAAATACAGCAAAAACCTGTTACTCCAATCACACAAGATTAATACACAACAATCAATATCTCACCTCTAGAAATTTCCGTTTGCCCCTTTCACCATCCCCTAAATCACTTCACTTCTCAAACTCCCATTCACCAATTCTTGTTTTGAATCAAAAACCCAAACCCATTTCCCAAATATCGAGCAGGTCAATACGTGGACCTCTTCTGTGTGCAAATTCGTCAAATGCCATTACTGCAGATGATAATAACAGCAAGAAAAGCTTCGGGGATTGGATCCAAACTGTTGGGGAGGCCATTTCTGTCTTGTTTCCTTTATGGGTAGCTTTGGGTTGCTTAATTGGGCTGTTCAAACCCAATTCCTATAATTGGGTCAAACCCCAATGGACCGTGATGGGTATTACTCTTACGATGCTTGGGATGGGAATGACTCTTACTTTTGATGACCTTCGTTCTGCTTTAGCTATGCCTAAACAGTTATTCTGCGGTTTCGTCCTTCAGTACTCGGTATTTTATTAAATTTTGTCCTTAGAATATTTATTAGTCCTTTTAGTGTACTTGTGAAATGTTAATGAATAAGTAAGTTGATCAATCAAAGGTCCAAATTATCACCGGTGTCGGAGGTGGAGCCAGTATTTCAGGTTCTGGATTTTTGGGACCGCGATTTCAAGTGTTAATAATTGAGTTCTAGATTTAATATTTATACATATTTCATGAATTCAAAACACCAAATACACTGCTTGAGCAAAAGCTATTGGGTTCAGCCGAACCTATATGTCGGCTTGTGCCTTCGCCCTTGACCGGTGTTGTAAGCATGCAGCTAGAAATAATCCAGCCATAGTAATAGAGGTAACATTTATACCCAAAGTATTGTTTTGATGTATGAAGCTTTGTCCATTTTAGTCTACATTTGTGGCAGAAGGAGCAACATTTATTCTGTAATTTGATTGATAACCAATAAATCCGTTGTTTTTAGCTTTGATGCTCGGTGGATTTGAACTCATAGACCCCCATGCTACGGTTACTTGTGGTCCAACGACGTCCGCCTACCGCACATTTCTCTTTATACTACCTTTGGCATCGAACCAAAGCCCTAGGAGCAGCTTTTTTTTCTCTAACTTAGAAATTAATCGTTTGTTTGTTCTCTGACTAGTTCTTAAGTTTGGTACCATCCAACTCCTTGTTGTTCCATGAGCAAGATGATAAAATGATATGGATGAAGTATGCTGACAACTTGTAAATACATTTCCAAAAACCATATGCAAATTCGAAATGAATTGTAGCACTTTGCTACCAAGTGCATTTCACCATTTAAAGACAGAAGACTTAGTTAGGGTTAAGATTTATATCGGGATTCCTTCCCTTTAGGGTGAAAACTGATATTATTTTGGTTTTGTGTTCCTAAGCTGCCAATTGTCGATTTTATCCAGATTTGTCAGCTTCCGATTATGCATTTTCTTCCTCTTGAATGCTAGCTCTTAGATTGCAACTCAAATATATGCTTCCCTGGACTTCTTTTTTCCTTGTTAAACTAATAGTTTGTTCTATTTGTCCATCCTCTCTTTTGTTCAAGAAGTTCCACTTCCTGTGATGTCTCTCGGAAAACACTTTATATATAAAGTGAACTTGTTCCGCATTTCTGTTTACCTTGTCATTCATTAGTCATTCATTGTTCACTTCTTGTGACGACCTGCGTGCAGTTTATCCCACACTACTAAGAAAATATATTTCCTGCCTAATTTTCTTGGCATGGACACATTAACAGCCTGTTTTCTGGTGTAGGTAATGCCTTTATCAGGATATTTTATTAGTAAGCTGTTAAATTTGCCATCCCATTATGCAGCAGGCTTGATATTGGTTGGCTGCTGTCCTGGAGGTATGCTTAGTTAGACTCCTTTTCAAACCCTCTACTTATAGACATTTACTAAGCATCTCATGCATTCTTCTGCAGGGACGGCAAGTAACATTGTCACTTACATTGCACGGTAGGTACTTTTGGAAAGTTCTCTTGTATCATTGTTATTCATATTACTATTGTTTTGCTGTTGTTTCCATTATAAATACCTACTAGGTGTCATTTAACTGCAGTGGAAATGTGGCGCTTTCAGTATTGATGACTGCTGCAAGTACCCTATCTGCCGTGGTTAGTAGTTTTGTTTGGTTGATGAATATAATATGCATATAAGACGTTTATATCTGTACATATGCTTATGTTGTGTGTTTAATGCATCACAAGCATAAATGACCTAAAACAATTCATGAGGTAGTTCTAAAATGTTTAACTTAAGGTAAGCTCTAAAGTCTTGTGAATAAAGCTTTTGGCCGACAAAGAAATGCATTATTGACAGAATAATCAACAAGCAACTAAATCAAATCTGGGGAGCTTCTTTTTCAAGTTACTATGAATTTGAATTCTCTTGATTACCCAAAAGCATGAAGGCATTTGGAGGAGTTGGTTCATTTTGTCCTAAGAGTGATACAAGCTTAATAAGATTGCAGAGCAGTCAACTGTTGCCTTCATCAAAGACAAAGATGAACAGTCAGGATCGACATCAGATATAGACAGGACATTTTTGAAATTCAGGTGGGAAAAATATGCAGATTTAAGTGAAGGCTTCAGCACTAATTACAATCATTTCTTTTCTAAACGATTAAATTAATCCCTACCACCAGAGTTGTAGTGCAAGCAGGTCCAAATAATTAGCCTCTAGACAACAATCAAGGTGCAGGGTTAGAGAGTGTGACACTGAGCATTCAGTGATCATATGAAAGTGTCAAGTGCAGAACAGGAAAGTGTGTGTTGATCGTCAAGAATATAAAAAGAGATTTAGGTTCTTAGGTTGTTTTCTTGATATGTAGTTTTTTTAGATTGTTGATCTGTGTTTAACTATGATAGCAAAATTATTGGTAGGCAAATCCGTGTTTGGGACTGCTCTGAAAAGATACAAATGGCAATCTCTATATCTAAATGTAATAAACAAAGCATTATCTCGCCAATTAATAGGCAACAAAAGCACTTTTGTCTAAGACTGGTGGGCCGTTCTATATTAGTACACTCATATTCTTAAACAATGTGGTAAAAGGATGACACTTTCTTAATATCGTTGAAGATACTCTAATCCTATCTGATGGTGTGAGAGCTCCCTTAAGTTAATTGACCTTTCTGGTTACACGTCCAGGTGATGACCCCTTTCCTAACAGAGAAACTTGCAGGGCAATTTGTTGCAGTAGATGCAGCTGGACTTTTCATGTCCACTTTGCAGGTCCATTTCCTAATTTGGTTATTGGATTATCATTATCGTAGTATTGTAATTTGTCAGAATAAATTATAAAGCCTGCCAACATGCAGGTGGTTCTTCTTCCTGTCTTAGCTGGTGCATTTCTGAATCAGTATTTCAAAGGCCTTGTCAAAATTGTGTCTCCATTGATGCCCCCTATTGCTGTAGCAACTGTTGCAGTTCTTTGTGGAAATGCAATTGCGCAGAGTTCTTCTGCAATCCTCATGTCAGGTCAACAGGTCGTCTTAGCTGCTGCTCTTCTTCATGCATCTGGTTTCTTCTTTGGCTACGTACTCTCAAGGATGCTCGGGGTTGATGTATCATCCTCAAGGACAATATCTATTGAAGTCGGCATGCAGGTAAGCAAATGATTTCAGAAATAGACTCTGGGAAGAGCTCTCTCTCCCCATTTATCCTAAAAAAAAAAAAAAAAAAAAAAAAAATTGCCATTTCCAGTCCTTGGTGACTGAAGAAGATATTTGTAAACGTATTACAAAATGGCACCTGAAAAACAATCAGGGGAAAGATGACACTTAAATAATTAGATAAGCCCTTGATATAAACCATGCCTTCTAGCAAGGTGCTGTATAGTCATTAAATTGTACTTTTTTTGTTGCAGAACTCAGTTCTTGGAGTAGTTCTTGCCACTCAGCACTTTGGTAATCCCCTTACTGCAGTACCATGTGCAGTTTCTAGTGTTTGTCACTCAATATTTGGCAGTGCCTTGGCTGGTATCTGGAGGCGCTCTGTTCCCGATCAAGTGCAGCACTGAGTCACTCTCTTGGTGTATCTTGGCAATTGTTCTGAGATTGTAGCGTTCTTTTTTCTACACTGCATTGCAAAGTGATACATCAAGCTTGTTAGTCATTAGAAGTCCCTAGTGTTGATGTCTGGTTAATCACCATTGATATTCGATACCAACAACATTTTTATTTTTTTGGTGGTGATTTCAAGGTGTTCCAGCTAACTTTTGAATTCTGGGAACTTCTAAAACTGCTTCGATAAGAAAAATTGATCAATTACGCTGGAAGTACCTATGGTTATAATCTCTACGGATGTGGTGGGGGATTGTGCTTAGGGAGTTTAGACGCATTTCCTTAATTCAACTATTCGACGGTAGTATCAAACATGTGGATTGACATTCATGTTTTTTTCTTCTTTTTTTATCAAGATAAGATTTTTTTGTTTCTTGGACATTCATGTTTTTTTTTAAAAGGAAAGCATCCTATAAATGTAGTCAAATCTTCTTTCTGTATTAGTAAGCAAAGTCTATCGTCCCACCCTAAATAGTTGATAAGACCAGGGTAGAGCTAGAAGTGAATCCAAAATTTAGAGTTAGTATGTTCATTACTAGGGTGGTCTTATTATATGTATATATTTCAAAATTCTCTTTGCAGATGCGTACATAATTCGGGTCGCACCGGTTTAGCTGAACCATTTAGCACATACGTCATAAAATACGCCCCTGGCTACTCCCGATACCTTTCAGTAATAAATAGTAGGAGGGACCATATTCATATATGGAGTCTGAAACTGAAATGATGCCATTTTGGACATAAAATACGTTTTTACAGTTAAAAAAAAAGTTACATTTCTACATAAAACGCAGTATAATACTGCGTTTTACCTTAACGGAAAGTTAGCCGTTAAAGTAAAACGCAGTATTATATTGCGTTTTACTTAAAAATTGGGCCCACCAAATAAGTGTTCTGCAGTGCTGACATAAATAATTTGTTTTTTAGTGTAAAACGTATTATAATACTACATTTTACAGAAAACGTAGTATTATAATACGTTTTACACTAAAATTTGGGCCCACCAATAATTGTTCTGTGGATAACTGACATAACAATAATTCAAATACATAAAACGTCTTATTATACTGCGTTTTACATAAAAAAAATCTGCACCCCAAGCTAGGACTTGCCTTATTTAAAGGCGTTAGAATTTTATGAAAATCCATTCAAAACTTTCCTTCAAACTTCCGTTCATACTTCTCTTCATCTTATCAAGCATTTGTTTATAATGTCTGAAGAGCCAAAAATAAGGGTTTCATTATATTGGGGGGGTGAGGTTGTAATAGAGAATAACTCTGTGAGGTATAGCTCACCTCCACAGTGTCATGTTAAATTGCCGCTTACAATGGAGTACGATAAATTGGTATCGTTGTTACGTAAAAAAATGAGTGTGAGGAAACGTTCGGTGAACCTTAAAGTAACCGGTAGATTTCCGTATTCTGTGACTCCACAGGGGTTTGCTTATTATTCTGAGTTTAACATCGAAGATGATGAAACTCTTAGGGATTTTTTGCGGATTCCGGATGAATACAGGGAATTTATTGTAATAAAATTGTTGGAAATGTATGTCAAGGTTGAAGACCTTCCCAATAATGAGAGTGTGCATAGTAGGGATAACCCCCAGTTATCAGGTGGATATTCTGGAGCAGTTTTTGCCGGACAGATTGCTGATGAAAGAGCTTGCCTTGATTTAAACTTGTCACCACCGGCGAATGAGCAGCCACAAAATAATTTTTCGACTTTATATAATCCACAAGACGACTGGTAAACTTCAATTCTTTTACCCTAAATTGAAATTTATTTTATGTTTGAATTGGATTTGTATTAACACTCATATTTTTCATAGGGGGGTACCGTCCGGATATGAATTTTACAAGTTATGACCCCGCTCCTAGTTGGAATATGCGTAGTTCTGGCGTGTTGGACCACGGTGGTCCATCCGGCAGTCATCACCAACAAGAAAATATCCATCATGGAACGTCAACACAATACGACTTGTAAGTAAAGTGATATAGCTATATGTAAAGTATTTATCTAGTTGAGTAGCTTATATTTTGTTCTTTTTGTGCAGTGAAAACGAGCAACTTGATGTTCCTGACCTCACACAGTTGCCCATAGACGACGTATTCACTCGTGATTTGGCAGATGCACAGAGTCAGGAAGATGATAGTGATCATGACAACAATGCTGATGAGTCTGGAGATGACACACCCTTCCCTGATGAAGGTGATGACGAGGAGGAAGTGGATGCCGAACCTGAGCTGACGAGGGAGCAAGCTCCTCCACCTCCTGTTAGACCAAGAGTGTACGAGTTCCACGTGCCGTTTCATGAGCGGAATATTCCCTACCTTGATAATTTGCCAAGTATGCCGGACGTGGATGCCCTTACAAGGACTGATGACGAAATTCGGTCAGGAATGTGCGATGAGTCTAGACCAGCGGTGCTGGCAAAGGGCATGTATTTCCCCGATAAAGCTCGCCTAATCAGGGCTGTAAACATCTACAGGGTAAGAGAGTGCCGTGAGATGATGGTAAGGGAGTCAACTACGGAGGTATACAAGGCTGTATGCCGTAGAGACTTTATGGGTTGTCACTGGATGTTGCGTGCCAGCAAGAAGAAATTTAGGGTTGTGGAAAGTGGGTAAATTTATTAGCACCCACAGATGTGAAATGGACACATTCAATGAGAATCACTTCAACCTGGATGTAGACTTGATTTCTCTTGTCTTTATTCCATATTTGGAAGTGTCCATTAGGTTCAAGATTAAAGAGTGTATTACAGTCGTCCACCAGGAGTATGGTTGTACTATAACCAAAAGAAAGGCATATCTCGGTCGCAAACGTGCCTTTGAACTTATTTATGGCGACTGGGATAAGTCTTTTTCATCTTTGCCCAGGTACATGGCCGCACTGCAACACTTTAACCCCGGGACTGTTGTTGAATGGAGGCGTGAGGGGAGTCCGGACAGACCCGGATATATTTTCAACTATGTGTTCTGGTCATTTAAACTAGCAATTGATGATTTTGTGCATTGTCGTCCTGTAATTTCCATAGACGGTACTCATGTCTATGGAAAGTATGATATTAAGCTTTTCATTGCAGTTGCAGTAGATGCAAACGGACAAATATTTCCACTATCTTTTGCCATTTGAGCCAACGAAAGCGAAGAGACGTGGACGCTTTTTTTGAACCACTTGAAGTAGCACGTTGTCAAACAGCGTTCAGGTATTTGTCTAATATCTGATCGACATGGTGGTATTTTAAGTTTTGTACGGCACTTGCCTGAATGGCAGGAACCCTATGCATACCACCGTTACTGTGTGAGGCACCTGAAGGCCAATTTTCAGAAGAAATATCACGACAAGGCCTTGCATGATTTAATGTGGATGGCTGTAACTGAGCACCAATAGTGCAAATTCATAAGGCGCATGGAAACGATCCGACAGATTGATCCACGAGCCTATACTTGGCTGATGGGACATGAGCTTCACATGTGGACATTGCATGCTGATGGCAGCAGACGATGGGGAGCAATGACTACAAATGTGTCGGAGTCATTCAACGGCTTGTTGAAGTCTGCCAGTGGACTGCCTATCACTGCCATGGTCCGCATGACATTCAAACAGATTGCGGAGAGGTTTGTTGAAAGGCATAGAGCTGCATCGACATTGATGGACAGGGGTGTTCAATTTATGCCAATACCGATGAGAAGATTTGAAAGGTACAGGAGGCGAGCACATTGGCATTCATTTTTACAGTACGATCACGACCGGGGTGTTTTTGAAGTTAAGACCGCTATCCGTGGACACCGGGGGAATAATCTACAGACGGTGAATGAAGCCAGCAGGTTGTGTTCATGTGGGAAATGGACCATCTACCACATGCCGTGCGCACATGCCTTGAAGTGCTTTCAATAAGTTGGTTTAGGGGAAACCAACTATATTGATAGGCAATACAGTGTTGTTGCATACGTAGACACCTATAGTGGGTAGTTGCAGCCATTGGGTGCTGAGCATTATTGGCCGCCGGAACCTTTTAAAATGGTGTGTAACAAGGACTATTTCCGCAAGCTGCAAGTGCAAAAGAGAACGCGTATACGGAACCAAATGGATTTTGGTGACACCGTTTATGCGCGTAAATGTGGCATATGCTCCCAAACTGGACACGACCGTCATAAATGTCCTTCAGCTCCTGGTGCAAGTTTGTCGAATGTACCCAACTATCAAGGCTACACCTAGTCTTTGTTTTTGTAATGTTTTTGTAATAAGTGTATGTACTTGTGTATGTTGCAATATCTATCAAATAAAATTATGTACCACGGTCTTGTTACATCTTATTTTTTAACATGAACATTTGAATTGGAATGATGATATGGTAGTCCAATATTAAACTTATTGGTGTTAGTAAAAAAGACAGATCTAAAGATTGAAATATCACAACATAATGTTCGAAGAGATAAAAGCACAACAACCATAACTAAAGCAACAAACATGAAAATAGAAGATAACAAAGAAAAAATAAAGACATTGTTTTTTTTGTTTCAGAAAAATTTACTATGTAAAGCGTAGTATTATAATGCGTTTTGTGTGTTGTCTTGTCGGTCTGAAAAAGCTGAACTGACTGCGCAAAAGCTGTTTCATTTCAGAAAAATTTACAATATAAAGCGTAGTATTATAATGCGTTTTGTGTGTTGTCTTGTCGGTCTGAAAAAGCTGAACCGACTGCGCAAAAGCTGTTTCATTTCAGAAAAATTTACTATGTAAAGCGTAGTATTATAATGCGTTTTGTGTGTTGTCTTGTCGGTCTGAAAAAGCTGAACCGACTGCGCAAAAGCTGTTTTATTTCGGAAAAATTTACTATGTAAAGCGAAATATTATAATGCGTTTTGTGTGTTGTGTTGCCTATAAATAACGGGCGCATTTTACTTATTTTCTGCGCTTAACAATAACCAATAGAAAATATTTCCATAAAATCAAGGTTTTTCTTTACTATTTTACTAATGTCTCATCAACCTCTTTATGTCCCAAGGTGTGAGTGTGGCAAAAAATGCATGAGTTTCGACTGTTGGGAAGAAGCTGGACGTCGCTACTGGGCTTGTATGAACAAGTTTTATAGGCAACCCGGCGAACCTATATGCAATATTGAGGTATGGATTGATGAACCCTGTGAGCAGGAATACTACAAAGAAAAGTTGCAGCATCTTCATAGTGTGTGTTTGAAGCAGTGGGAAAGAGAGGAACAATCAAAACGAGTAGTTGCGGAGTTGAAGGAGAAACTCAAGGAGGTGGAAGAAGAAAAAAATAAGCTGCTAGACCAACTCAAGTGGTTGGAGCAGAGAATACTAGGCGTCGTGACTAAACAAAGGCAGGGGTCGTGTTGAGCGTATTACTGTATCTTTATGTTTCCCGTGTCATGTGTTTTCATTTATGTTATGTTAGGTTTGCTATGTTGTGTCTGTGTTGTACTGTTAAAATAAAATCGTTGTTCAAATTGTGTTAAACTAAAATTGTTGTTAAAACACAATTCTTGCCACTATTTACATAATGTAGTATGTACACAAAATACAAACAAAAATAAATCAATGAGCCCCGCAACCTGTGTGCTTCAGTGCAGCCGCTGGCCTGAGTCGCATCCCCTGTCGCCCGGGTACACTATCAGGATCATCATCATCAAGTCGCCTCTTTATGTAAGGATGCGCAGCAGCATCGACAGTACAACTGGCAGGATCGGTAGAAAGGGCCGTCGGGCCATCAGCAACCTACAAAACAATTACTAAGCTTAGCATATAAAAATATATTCTAGTAATGTACGTGTTAAGTCAAAAATATTTTCTCACCATGGTCTCGTCGGCCCCCTGAGTATAAAAATTAATTTATGGCAAATCATTAAGGAAAAGAAAACAAATTGAAATTTTACAGCAATACAAACATACCTGCGCCTGTGGTAGATCCGCATAAACCGCCGGGGATGAGGCATAACTCAACCTGCGCCCGCCATCCACGTCTCGGGTCGGCCAGATGGGCCTAAAAAGAACTAGTCTACATCTCTGTCGAATATACCCGTGATCGACAATGGATATGACGGGGTGACCTGCGATGCTGGCAGATCCAGTTGAAGGTTGTACGACGGCATACTGCTGGAAGGCTCGTCTAGCTGAGGCAAATAACCCAGCTGATCATCTCCAAGATCCTCATCAGGTGCCTCCACAGGTGGGTTGACAGGTGCCTCAACGCCCCCTCGCTGGGGACCACCTCCTCGCCGTCCACCGCGACCCCATGGGGCACCCCTACCTCGTGGGACAACCCTGCCTCGTCGGGTAGCCCTGGCTCGTGCCTGACCCCTGCCTCGTGGGACAGGCCTACCCCGATGGTGCTCCTCTGGCACCGTATACTCAGCCTCGTGATCCAACCTCGTGCCCTTTCTAGCTCGTTGCAGGGTCCGGAGAGCCAGCTCTTCCACCCGCCGGCCATACTCAACGACTGCAGCATTGTGGCCATGCTGCCGCATCTCCAGTCCCAACTGGTAGAACATGTGATGCCCAATAGCCTGCATAACATTTAAAATATTAATTAAATAACTCTATATCACAATTATAAGACTTATCCCACAAAAACATACCAGTGCCTCGTGCCTCCCTACGTATGGTCTGTACCAACCACCAAGTACATGAACGGGGTTCTCGATCATCAGTCGGGTGTGACGGCGGTACCATGACGTATAGAGCTCAATAGTCACCTCCTGGATCTGTGAAGGTGGTGGCGGAATCAAGTCCTCTCGCTGGTCCCAAATATGGACCTGCGCCTCTAGCCATCCTACAAATTCGTCGTCCACCCTCGAACGATCATCCCGCTGATAATGTGTAGCCACCCATGCAGGCTCCCTCGGTATAGTCTGTGGACGGTCAAACTGGCAAAGTACACGCTCTGTGGCATGATGCTCCACCACATCGAGGCACATCATCGGGACGGAAGTGCTCCAAAGCAGTCGGTCGACCGAGCAATAATCGGGCAGATCAGCTAGCAACTCGTCGTTGTACGGCGTCCAGATGAACTATCAAACAATAACATAAAAGTGAGTATGCGCAACACAAGTGAATTTATAACAACTAAGTTAAGGTACATATTTACCTGTCCAGCCACCAGCATATCTACACTACAACAAAAAAGTCTTTTAGCGGCAATTAATATGTTCTTTAGCGGCAATAACAATTGCCGCAAAAATATTTACCGGCAATTAATCATTGGCCGACGAATCCAGCGTCGCTAAAGGTTTTAGCGGCCATTTCAACAAATGCTGGTAAAGATCCCCTTTATTGCCGCTAAAAGTCTATGAGCTTTAGCGACAATAATTTATCGGTAATTAATATGGCCACTAAAACTCCCCAGAATATAGTAAGTCACACATTTTATGGCGTTAGTTATTACCGGTAAACATCATTCAATTGCCGATAAAGACCATTCAAAAAGAACCCTTTCAACGGCGAATGTAATGGCCACCAAAACTATCTGCCAATTGGTCTTTATCCACATGCTACTTCTGTTATTTCCAGTAAAGATTCATCTTATTGCCAAAAAGGTTTATTTTTCATGATTTTCTATTGCATGTTATACATATTTAATTTCAAGTATAATAATAAGATCCATTCAAAAGAGCTCAATACACTACATTAAATCCTAAGCAAACCAACTACTAATCCATAATTTCATAGTGCCAACTACATAACCAAAAAGGTAAACTTTTTGAATCCAATAGCTAGCACCATTTGGTCTAATAGCTAATATTATCAAATACTAGCTATAATACAATACAACAAATGCGCATTAAAATTTCTCCAACTCTTGATCTTGATGAAGCCTTCCACACGGAAAAATGTCTGAAGATCCACTTTATCTCTGGATAAACGTCCAAGTAATAGTTGTTTGCCTTCCCAAGACCATCTAATATCTCGCGACTAGTCTCCACAGATATATGCCTTGCATATCTCAATACCTTTACAGGAAATAAATCAAAGCATGAAATTAATATTTCTTTTGTTGTGGTAGTAAGCCATGAATGATGTGATATTGCAAAAGTATTTTAAAACCAATAATCATTAAATAGCCTCGAGCACTTCTGAAATTACGCAACAAAGCATGCACTGATCAAAGATTTTGGTAGGTGTCAAAGCATTAGGTTCGTCATTAACTTGTCTGTTTCACCTGTAGGCTTTTAGGCCATCACGATTGGGGCGGAAAATAGAATCTCAAAATAAGTTCTAGTTAAGAGCAAGAAGGTTGATTTTTTAGGATCTCAACAATCTTTCAATATTTCAAAAAATATATTTATGTAGAAACAAACTTACAACTACACTATCTAAGAACCAGAACTAGATATATAGCAACAGTACTTTTAAGTTAATTTTCACAAGACTAAATAACTAGGCTCTAAACTAATAAGATCACATGCTCGGGCTGCCACTCTACTACAACTATGTGAAATGGCAAAAATCCTAACTATATCCGGACCAAGCTAACAATCTCATGAAATTTATTATTCCTATCTAAATTATCAATAAGATAGATGCCATTACTTCACTTTTCTGTTTTACTTTATAATTTTACTTGTGATTTTTAGTATAATTGTTTGATGAGTGCTGTTAAAAGTAGAATGAAGCATTCTGCTCTCCATCTCCTCTAGAATGGGTAAAGGAAATGTTCTGAGGAAGACATAATCGATTAGATATCTTACATTCCTAATGATTAGAACACCAGGAAAGACTTATGGTTACGCATGAAAGCTCTTGACATTAGTGATACAACCAGCTGATATTATATCACTTACAAAACCTTCAATGTGTGACTAATATTTCTCTTAAAAAGACTCCTTCATTCAAAACTAAATGTCCATGTTTGAACTAATATGTATTAAAAAGACCTAATATTGTTTAATATTACTTTGTAGAGCATGTGCAGGAAAGAAATAGTAGTTGAAAGTGCCAAGATAGGTTTCATCTCACTTTGTTTGTGTAGCAAAAAGATACATCATTTTAGGGTAAACAAAAAAGAAAGAGGTGCATATTCAAAATGGCACAATATAATTTCATATAAAATACTATATTTCTTAAAAAATAGAAATAAGATAATAGAATATTAAGAAAAGACAGATAAGAGATTTCCATATTAGACGCTCACCAATACAAACAAGTTCTACTATGTTTTTTAGGACAATTAAATAGTTACAAAAACGAGAGGACTAAAAACAAGGAGTTAATAACCAAATATTTCTTTTATTATACCATGGACAGATAAGAAGCTGTAGACTGGAGATTAGCAACATATATTCAAATACCAAAAAGAAAAGAAATCTTTACTTTGAAATGACAGTAGTAGTCCTTGTGTTGCTCGTTCCTGGTCACTATTTGCACAAGGGATCTATTATACTTTCTGGACATGGATCAACAGGGACCTATTATAAATATCAATACATTAGGAAATAACTGGACCAAGTAAGTATATTTAGCATATTGTAATATATAAACCTACCTTCAATAAGAGACTTAAGTATAAAATCTCCACCAAACTCAACACAAATAAAAATTGCTGTTGCTAGTAGCAGAAAATATATATAAAATTGAATGATATTATAAGACTGCACTTCTTCATCATATTGTTCACTGACCATATTGCCAAATCACGTTCTCATATTCCGTTCTCCATGAGAAAGCACTTTCGCTGCAAGAACTCGTAGAAGTCATTTCAAAGTAGTTTTATTATGAAATAAAAATAATATGTATTCTTTTCTTTAGAAAGGTACCAAAATCATATTTAACACATAACAAATTTGTTGTCTAATGTTGTCAGGAGTGGAAGTCTAACTTACTTTGTCATTATTTTTTAAGTTAATGCATCAAAGTGTTCAAAAAGGCAATCAACTTCCTAAGACATTTAATGGACAATAGGTTTCCTCATAAAAACTGCTTTAGGTAATACATTTAGATTAGAAAATTTTACTTAAATCTTTGCCACATCACATCACCTCAACTATAAGTAAAAGTATGATGCCTTTTTTAACTTTCATCCTCTTTATCCCCCAATATGAAGCATTCATATGAAACTACACTATATCTCCTTGTTCGAGAATAGTAATGTAAACATATAATTCATCAAAATAGCAAATTGAAATCTGTAGTCCAAGTCATATGGCTAGAGTAATATTGCATAAGGACTCAACATTGGTCGTCCTGTCTCATATTTATTTTGTTTTTTAATCATCAAATAACACCAAGATTGTTGTTAATCTACCATAGTGTCTAGATCTTAACATAGTTGTATAGCACCAACATGATTTAAAGATATTTCTACTTCACAATAAACAGTTTAGATTTCAAAAATTTACAAACCATTACACATAGGGATTCCAAACCGATTTCAAAAGCAGGTTCCTCCAATCTATTCCTCTCAACTGCTTGAACATCAGTCATTACCTGAAATGAAATATTATCAAGTAACCAGCAAAAGTTGTTACCAATCAAAAACTCATGAATTTATATGGAGTAGATTACTAGAAATATTAGTTTGTCCTCCTTTATCTTATCTAACTTAGCAAAAATAAGAAAATATAGAACGATTCATAGTAACTACATAGCTATAGTTCTTTGTTTCAACTAATATACTGAAGCTTTCTATCTTAATACTTCTTTTAGCTACAGTTTTTCAAGATTTATTTTTTCTTTTTAGATCTATTGTATTTGGAAATTAAATTTTATTCTCCTAATACAAAGAATGCAACAACCAAAAGAATATGACTATAAAATCAAATAGAAATAAATTTTCCAGAAAATCAGTAACACTCCACAAAGCACCTGATGCCGAAAAGTGTTTAACAATTGCAATTTATCAATATTCATAAAACAAAAAAGATTATAAGGGACCATGACCTCAGAGACATAGCTCTTGGCTTCTTCAATTTTAGAAAAATTGTGTGTTCAGTGTACAACCTTCTAATCCCATTGATGTAGCAAACATCTACTTTGCATCTGTAACCGCAACTGTTGACATATTGATGTAGCAAGAACAAAGCCTCAAATATTCTGATGTTCCTTCATTAATTAATAAGAAAAATAAAGGATCTTTGTCGAGTAATATTTTTAGGAAGAAGATGAAGTCGATGATGAATAAGTGGGTAATGATTGAGTAGGAATTAGAATTTTGGGCGTTAGGGTTTCATTGGATTTTGAATCCTCATTCTCGATAAAAAGGGAATGAAAGAATGAAATACTGGATTATCAATATTAAGGAGGGAAATGAAAAATAATTTTGAGGGAGGGCAAAAAATGTCCCGATCTATACAAGGCATAAGCTTTTAGTGGCCATTTTTTTAATTGCCGAGAAAAAGTGCTTATTCTGGGCAATTAATCAATTGCCGCTAATATTGGCCTTTATGAAATTAATTACTGACAATTAGTTTATTGCCGCTAAATAATTACCACCATATGCCTTTTTTGTAGTAGTGCTAACACATCCGTGACAAGGGGGAGATTATGATGAGCATCACTGCCTCTGTAGTTCCCACGCTGGAGAACCCACCTCGTAGCTAGAGGGAGAAACGGAGGTGCTACACCCGGCTCTAGTGGCGGTAGAGGTGGCTGCAACGGCATGATCCGCTCCTAGGCCCAAACCTAAGATAAAAGGTTGACGTAAAATTTAAGAGTCATTTTGACTATATAGAATTTGAAGTAATGAACAGAGTATTCGAAAATGTTGTCACCTGTAGAAGTGGCAGAAAACCAATATGTCCACCTGGGTGCCCATGCTAGCCTGGCACATACTCCTATACAGGTGTGAGAGAACAGCAGCACCCCAGCTGTACTGGGGTAACTCATCTAGCTGCTGCAGATGATGCAAAAAGCGCAGACTCACTAGATTTCCCGAAGTGTTCGGGAACAAGACACCCCCAAAAAAAAGAAACAGCACCAACCTCGTGTACCGGTTATTATGGAGATCCTCTGTCTCGCCGGTAATGTCGGGGTGCAATACCTCCATATGTTGTCTGATAGCTGCCACAGAATTGCGACTGCCCCCTCTAACTGCAGCCTCACCCTGTGGTCTGAAACCAGTATACTGCCCCAGGAAATCCAAATACTAGGCACGCGCCATAGCTCTCATATGCTGGGGTAGTGCAACGGCCAGCCATCAACACGCAGCCCATATAAAACCTGAACATCCTGAAGCGTGATGGTGGCCTCTCCAGTGGGCAAGTGAAAAGTGTGCGTCTACGGTCGCTACTGCTCTATCAGCGCCGTGATGAGAGACCAATCAAGCTGCATCCGCCCAATCTCAAAAATCCTAAGGAAGCCCGTAGCACGCAGGCGATGGACTACGCGGGCATGGAAAGCTCTCTCCCTCAAAAAGTCCCACAAGTCATCCGGTCTCCTGGCGCAGAGAGTCTGATCCAATAGATGTCCCTCCCATACATAGGCGGACCTATCGTCGCCCTGTAACACTAATATCTGATCCGCGGCTGGTCCAGGATGCACAGGCGGCAAGTCCATGTCGTCTACTGTAATTTAAACAATATTAATTGTGTGTTTGTGTTATAATAAATTAAATAATTAATTTTTAATTAGATAGAGTAATTATCTATGGGTTCCAGGCTCGATATTTGAGGCGCAGTAGCACCAAGCTATCCTTAATTCTTTTGTGTGTCTATTTCAATATTTTTAAAATTTTGTTAGTTTTATAAATTAAATAATTAATTTTTAATTAGACAGATTAATTATCAATGGGTTCCAGGCTCGATATTTGAGGTCCAATAGCACCAAGCTATCCTTAATTCTTTTATGTGTCAATTTCAATATTTTTAGAATTTTGTTAGTTTTATAAATTAAATAATTAATTTTTAATTGAAAAGGGTATACAACTATGAGTTTCACGCTCGATATTTAATTTGACAACATATATTAATTTGTTAGTTTTGTAAATTTATTTTATGAATTAAATCATTAATTTTGTAAAGTGTAATTGGATAGAGTTTGTAGTTAGTACATACTTAAACTACAGAGACTCTACGCTAAAAGGCTCTATATTTTACTACGCTAAAAGGCTCTATATTTTACTACGCTAAAAAGCTCTATATTTTACTACGCTAAAAGGACACTATTCTTTAAGCAAATAAATAATCTAAACTAAATAAAAACAACAAACATATGGACCTAACATTCACGAAATTACATATAAAACAGTAAAAGATATTTGTGAACAATTTCATTAACAATAAAAATAATTTCTCAAGTTTTAACTATTTTTTAAAACACTAATACTAATTTAATCCGGGTAAAAAAAAACATACAAATTTAATCGCATACATAAGCCAAATCAACGTGGAAACACATTCAAAAAACAAATATGCATATGTTCTACGAGTTTCGACATAAACTAAATCGGAATACCTCGATTTATGTTTTTTGAAATATCGAAAATTTAAAATTTTGACCCCGAAAGAATGAATCCAAGGCTTTGGTTGTATGCGGGGACCTACGCTCTTCACCTTTTGTGTGACGAGTGGGGCCCAAGAATTTTTTTATTTTAATCGCGTGGGGGGGGGGGGGACCAGAAATGGTGAGGGAGGGTTTTTTAAAAATGAGACTGCTTCTGTCGTGGGGAAGAAGACGACAGCTATATTTTATTATAGGAAAACGCAGTATTATATTGCGTTTTCCTTAAATGTAGTATTATACTGCATTTTCCTATAATAAAATAAATAATTAAATAAAATGCAGTATAATACTGCGTTTTACTTTAACGGCTAATTTTTCGTTAAGGTAAAACGCAATATAAATACTGCGTTTTATGTAGAAATGTAACTTATTTTTTTAACTGTAAAAACGTATTTTATGTCCAAAAAGACAGCATTTCAGTTTCGGGCTCTTCATATATGTACAATATACAGAAATCTTTGTTTCAGCACGGAAAAATCCTGAACAATGAGTACAAATTCAGTTAATATGTCAGAAATGCCAGCTTCCTTCATCTTGGCTGTTGCCTACAAATTAAACTACACATTAGACAAAATCAAGCCAAAGAATACCATATACAATCAGCAAAGCTGACTGATCATACAAAATAATATCATGTGCTCCTCTGCTGAGTTTCACTCCCGCCCAGTACCTCAGACCCCACTACACACTAGCATTCTGCAGATGCTTCTTTGACCAAGCATACCTCTCTGTTTCCTTATTAATTACTCAAAAGTTTACCTTTATACTGATACGTAAATGATAACGTCTATGGATGTTCGTTCCCTCTTTTAATTTCTCAGTGTATTTCTAAAGGAGATCTAGGAACAGTCATAGGCAGAGGCGGATCCAGAATTTGGAAATGGCGTGGGCACTATTATTTTTATCATAGCCATGACTCATGCGAATTATTAACTACAAAGTTTGACGTCGTGCAACTCTCTTAATACTTTGATGATTATAATAAGTTCTATGCTTCAATTTTTAACATAGAGAAGAGTTTAAGAATTTTTGAGGGAGAGGTTTAGTCATAGAAAAGGGGGTTTTGGGCGGAAACTAAAGAAAAAATTAAAAAAAAAGCCAAAATAGAAATCTGGGCTTATAAATCCTTAAAACTAAAACCAAAGTAACTGTTGGAGCTGGGAATCGAACCCCAGTCATCCACCCATAAGAGCAATAACATGCTACAGATGCGACCAGTGCCCTAAACAGACATTTGAGATTGAGGGTGCCTAATAAAATATATAACCGTTTCTCAAGGTATACACCCTACATATACATATAAATACATGTTTTTTCCCGAGCTTAACGGGTGCCGGTGACCCCTCTACCTTCCTGTTTAACCAGAAAACTGAATATTTGGTTAAAGCTAGAATTTAATAGAGAAATCGGGTTACTGATAATCAAGAAATAAAATATTTTGTGAACAACAATAAAGCAATGAATAAGAGTATATTTCAGTATAATCGGAATGATATTTCGTGTCCTACAAATGTTGTGACTTTCTCCTTTTATAGTCAATTCTAAGAGAAAGTGTAATGTCTTTGTCTTAATGAGGCAATTACGAGCAGTAAATGGCATTAAAAGAAACGTTATTCAATCATTCTTATTAAATACAAATTCTCTAACGTATTTGGCATTTAATGTTGAATTTGGACTCTTTTACGCTATCAGATTCATATCTTCAATTCCTTCTGATCTTCGAGCTTTAAATGGCTCGAACAGGTACGAGTCTCGTTTCATCTGGATAGTAGCTCGTATCTTCTCTCCCGCATCTATTGTTGCTCGTGTCTTCTAACTGTTTGTCATGCTTTGACTATTTGACCGGTCCACGTGTCATGACATGTCATCTTCAATATTTAAATTCAGTTTTTTCCCAATACAGATAGTCCCCCCACTTTCCATTTATTTATCAATTAAATATTTGGGAAGTGGATCTTTATTAAAAAGGGAATTTTTGCCATAATTAATGCTATGACAGTACTAACGCTTCAGTTGTCTTTTCTATTTAATGCATCGCACACGTGTCTCCTTCTCATTAGCTCTGTAATTCTGCAGCCTTTTTTCAAGGCTTCTTCAACTCCACTATTCACGAAGTGATAGTTGCCTTTATTATAGGCTTTCCATCATTACACTTCTTAATCTTTGACGGTTGCTTTTATATAAACTTAATCCTCCTTCCACAAATTTTTACCTAATATTTCACTATTTACTTCTATTCACTTCTTCCTCTGTTCACGCCTTTCTACCATGTCATCTTCAAATCCCAACCCTAGAAGAGTCCCAATTCTTCACAGTTTCCCCAATGCCCCTGTGAGACATAGAAGGGGTAGAGGGGGTAGGCTTCGTGGCCTTGGATCCATTCGTGGTGGTACCTCTGGTTCCATCACGCCTTCTTCCAGCTCTGGTATTACTTCTAGAGGTTCTTTCACTAATAGATCCTCCTCTAAAGGCAAAGAATCTTCTGAGTCAATGCAAGAACCTTTGGTCGAAGAAATAGTACCAACTGATTTATCTTTCGAGCATGATAAAGAATCCCTTCGTGACCAAGTAATTAAATTAGAGAGAGCTGACACTTATCCTTCTTTAATTACCGAACCCTTAATTTCCACTGTTCGAAAAGATTGTCGTTGGAGAGATGACCTTCATATAGCTATTCCTAACCCAAACCAGAGAATATCTTCTTATAGGATTGGTTTTTCCTCTGTTTATACTTATCCCTTTACTTTGGGATTTATTCCTGCTATCGACTCAGTCATACTC